TGTGTTGCGCGGGAAGTTTTCAGCCCTTGCATGGCGGGGACAACGGGAAACGCTGCGGGGACTGGGGACGTCCCTGCTGACGTCGTAGATGCCCCTCGGCCCGTATTTAGTCCGCGTGGGAGCAGTGACGCCGTGTTCCGTGGCCCCTGTGCAAGCGTGAGCGTGCACACTGTGTGCTTTTAGCCTGTGGTTCAGACACTCCGAGTGGGAGGCCTGCACCGATTACTGGTGGTCGATCGGCCTGTGAAAACGGCCCTGGTCGTCACTTCCCCCGCAGCCTGCGAGGGTTAGGGCTTCGCCTAATGTCTACTTCCTGGTGAGCATCGTTTGAAGACTGGCCTTTTTTATATTACCTTTTTGGAGAAGAATTTAGCATTAGTGTGTGTGTTTAAGGCTGCATCTTGTCCATGCCCATGGTCTTTAAGAGTGAAATTTTTTTGCAGTTTGTGCAAGCCTAAGGACTTGTCGAATCTGAAAGTTGAGGTGACAATGTCATCTTTAAAAGTCTCTTCTTTTAATATTTAGGTAATAGAGTGCTATTTTGAATCAAGAGCCAATCTTCAAATTTTGTTTTTTCACATTGCGACATTCATCTTAAGAGTAGTACTTCATATTTGTATTTTTACTTAATTTTTTTTTTATTTTTTACTTTCGATCATTTTTGCTTGGTACCTTCAGTATTCACTGAGTGCTTAGTGAAATACAACTTGAATTATTGTGCCATATTTAATATCTTTGAATAGTAATCAGCTGCTGAAAGTAGTATCATCTTATTTTATTAAAATAACCCAATTACCCAAAAAATCTTATTACAGTAGAAGCTTCCTTGCCAGAGTCTGATTTTTAAAGCATTACAATTTGTTTCTTTTCGTAGTAACTTTGTATGGAGTCTTTACAATCCATTTCTCTCCAAACGTGCCGTCTCGCTGCCTGCTGCTGGAGCTCCTGGACGTCAGCGTTTCAGAGTTGCTCTTATACTCCAGTCACCAGGGCTGTTCCATGTGGATGATACAGCACTGTGCCCGAGACGTGCTGGAGGCCCTGGCTTTCCTTCATCGTGAGGGTTATGTCCATGCAGACCTCAAACCACGTAACATACTGTGGAGCGCAGAGAACGAATGTTTTAAACTCATTGACTTTGGACTTAGCTTCAAAGAAGGCAATCAAGTAAGAAATATGTTCTGTCCCCCCCATTAGAGTCTAAGCTAAATGTCTTTAAATAGCAGAAGTGGTTTAGTAGAGGCTTAAGAGATAATTTCTAACTTCAGTGATGAAATTCCTGGGGGTGAAGCAAATACAAAAATTTTCATTGCCTGCATGGAAGAAAGGCCATGTGTTTGGGTCAGGTCGGGGGAACTAGTGTTAGGAGTAATTCACCTGTAAAATGCTTTTTTCTTCTTTGAGCATTTGGTTACTTGCTGAATTATTGGTGTGTGCAGTGTTGGGCTCCTGGGAAAACACGTGTGTGGGTTCTGGCAAACTCCCCATTCATCTTGGTTTGTCAGCTCTTTGCAGTGCCTTTATTTATTAGCAGTGTCTAGCGGGCAGGAGAGGCTGCAGAAACCAGGAGCTGTCTGGAAAGGATGCAGCTTGCCACCTATGAACTGAAGAATTAGGGTAGCCAAGGACTGATTGTTTTGCATTCACAGTGGTACAGGTGGGTGGGTGGATGGAAAGTGAGCAGTTTTTTACTGGTTGTAATGTTTACTCTTCTTCTTTAGGATGTGAAGTATATTCAGACAGACGGGTATCGGGCTCCAGAAGCAGAACTTCAGAATTGCATGGCCCAGGCTGGCTTGCAGAGCGACACAGAGTGCACCTCGGCCGTTGACCTGTGGAGCCTCGGCATCATTTTACTGGAAATGTTCTCAGGAATGAAACTGAAACACACCATCAGATCTCAGGAATGGAAGGTAGCCAGCGCCAGTGCTTTGCTCAGGGTCCCTTGTCCCAGTTTCAGACTCTGAGGCTTATAGTGATTCTTGGTGAGGACTCTGCCTCACGCCCCCCATCCCCCACTTCCTGCACGGTGGCTCCTGACAGCTGCTCCTCCTCCCACAGCTGCAGGCGCTGCTAAGCATCATGCTCACTGTGCCTGGGCTCAGGCCTGGTGTGGAGTCAGTGTTGGAACGACTGCCTCTTCCTGAAGAAGCAAAAGGGATTTCTTTTGTTTAGTAACTTAGTTATACTGCTTTTAAAGTAATACAGCAGTATGTTATCAGTTAAATGCTATTCTTTACATTATGTTTACAGTTAATGCAGTTGAAGTATTTTAGTGCACAGCCTCATTGAATTCTGACAACTCTGTGAGGCTGGTCAGAGGGATATTGGTTACTCTGTTCAAATGAACCAGAGACTCATGTGGAAAACCACTGGCTCTGGGTCATATGACTGTCCTCCCACCTCGGGCTCTGCCCACCGTCCTGCACACCTTCCTACTCATCTGCCATGTGCACTTTCCTGGTAATGTGACTGCTGCTTACAACATGGTTTCTGTGGGAACAGGGACTGAGTTCCAAACCTCTGACACAGGAGTGAATTTTCTATGTGTTCACAAGTTAAGAATTAACCTCAATATGTCTTCAAACACATTCTGGGGCTTTAATGTTGTGATGATGTTAGTATCCTTCAGGCTAGAGGTTTGGTAAATAGTACAATGTTTAGGAATTACTGGTTTTGATATTAAACATCTGATACAGAGTGTGTGGTTGTTGGGCCGTTAGGAGTAGCAGCTCTTGGAAGGAATGTTTTAATCATCAAAAACATGCTGCCAGGCGAGTAAAGCCAGTACCACTCTTTGTCATTGGTGCTCCCCGCAGCCGGGAAGCCAGGTACCTTCCCTGGTGTCAGTGCAGGTCAGTCCTCCCAGGGCTTCCACTGTCTAAGCCTTTGGACTGGTTCTGCTTGGGCCAGAGCTGATCAGAACTGGGCCCCAGTCAGGCATTTTGTGGTGAAATTTGGAGGCATGATGTGTACTTAATGGAATCCCCAGTATTCACCTCCTGGATAAAAATATCTTTACATATTTCATCACTTTCTCTGGAGGCAAAATTGCCAAGTGAGTGTGAGCGTAGGCTCTGAAGTCATGCGATAAGGTTCAGATCTTGCCTCTAGATCTTACTAAGCTAGTTATTTAGGTTCACGAAACCATGGTTTACTTTCTGTAAAAGGAGGATAATCCTGTTAATAAATGGCTAATATGCAAATCGACCGAATGGCGGAACAGCCGGTCGCTATTACGTGCACTGAACACCAGGGGGCAGATGCTCAACGCAGGAGCTGCCCCCTGGTGGTCAGTACGCTCCCACAGGGGGAGCGCCGTTCAGCCAGAAGGCGGTGGCAGGAGCCTCTCCTGCCTCCACGGCAGCGCTAAGGATGTCCGACTAAGCCATCAGTCAGACATCCCCCGAGGGCTCCCAGACTGCGAGAGGGCGCAGGCCAGGCTGAGGGGAAGAACCCCACCACCGCTCCCCCCCCCCATACACGAATTTTGTGCACCGGGCCTCTAGTCCTATATAATAAAAGCCTGATATGCTAGGTGTCCGACAGTTCGACCAGTCGCTATGATGTGCACTGACCACCAGGGGTAGACACTCTGGTAGGTTAGCTTGCTGCTGGGGACTGGGCAAGACAGGCCAGACACGTCCTGGAGCCTCCTGTGGTCCCTCCCCAGACCTGATTGTGCACCAGTGGGGTCCCTTGGCCTGGCCTGTGCCCTCTCGCAATCTGGGACCCTTTGAGGGATGTCGGAGAGTCAGTTTTGGCCTGATCCCTGCAGGCCAGGCATATGTCTCTAGAGCAGTGGTTCTCAACCTTCCTAATGCCGTGACCGTTTAATACAGTTCCTCATGTGGTGACCCCCAATTTCATTGTTACAAATTGAACATAATTAAAGCATAGTGATTAATCACAAAAACAATATGTAATTATATATGTGTTTTCCGATGGTCTTAGGCGACCCCTGTGAAAGGGTCGTTCGACCCCCAAAGGGGTCGCAACCCACAGGTTGATTGGGGTTAAAAAAGAAATGCCTAGTTCTTAACATGTGTGTGCCTGTGGGCATTTAGGAACTTTAGTGAACATGATGCTGTCAGGTCTTTTTACTCATGTACATACTTCCACGGTACTCGGAGAAATAGTACGTCCCACAAGGGTTTAGAGCAGTGGTACTCAACCTTCTGGCCCTTTAAATACAGTTCCTCATGTTGTGACCCAACCATAAAATTATTTTCGTTGCTACTTCATAACTGTAATGTTGCTACTATTATGAATCGTAATGTAAATATCTGATATGCAGGATGGTCTTTGGCAACCCCTGTGAAAGGGTCGTTCGACCGCCAAAGGGGTTGCGACCCACAGGTTGAGAACCACTGATATAGAGTGTGAATAATATAACAAATGCAGTTTTTAATTCGTGCCTTATTCTCCTGGATAATTTATTTTATTTCTATCTGAAACCAGCTGCAGACTCATCACTGAGACAGGGGCTCACCCAGCACAACTGCATTTTCTCACTTCACGTTGAGCTGCATTCTCATGTGGTTACTTTGTTGTTTGTTTGCTTACTCACCCATCAGTGGGTGTTGGTAGCAGGCCAGCTGCTGAAGCTAGGACACAAATGATTCTCCACAAAATCTCTTAAGGTCGGGAGTTCGAGGAAGGGGGGGTTTCTGTTGCATTGGACTTAGCAGCTAGTGCCTGGTACTTCAGGAAATACTGACTGGATTAAATAACCAAAGGAAGACTCTTCTCCCTCGTTTTAGGCAAACAGTTCTGCTATCGTCGATCACATATTTGCCAGGAAAGCAGTGGTGAATGCTGCAATCCCAGCCTATCACCTGAGAGACCTTATCAAAAGGTGCGTCACTTTTACTTCAACTTTGCTATTCACTGAAGAAATATACTTATTTCTGGTTTGCTTGATCATGTGTGCCACGCTCAGCACGGCCAGGGGTGAACCTGAGGGGGGGGCAGTGAAGGATTAAAGAAGACAGAAAAGGCAATAAAGCTGGGGCTAGGTGGGATACTGCTCTCGGATGGAGAGACAGCGCCACAGCCTGCAAGCTGAGTCTTTATTTTATAGCCAGATTCCACGGGGCGAAGTAAGGGCCTGGTCAAGATGGTTACAATGTTCTTGCGGGTTTCGAATCTACTCAGTTACATGCACCTGAACTCTATCAAGCTTTGTTCTGGCAGCACTAGCTGCACCTCCCACAGCCCACCTCCCTTAGCCACCTGGGACCACCGGTTCGGACCATAAGGTCAAGCTTACAACTATCGCCTTTGGCTGTAATTGTGCTGGGAGGGCTTTGCCCTCCAAGCTGGGACTTGCACGTGGCTTTGCCATGAGGGGACTGTGCCCTCTCATTAGTCCGAGGCTTGAACCTGTCCAAACACTGTAGCCGCTCTCCACAATGTAGAGGTTATTCTCCCTTAGAAATAAAACCTACTTGAAACCTGTACAGGCCAGCTTCTTATGAGAAACATAAGTGATCAAGTCTTTTACTAAACTTATTTTCAGAGGGACATTCTTTTGTTCAAGAGGAGTCCTAGGGAGCAGGCCTTCCTGGCAGCGGAAACGGGTGATGGGCCGTGTGTCTTTGGCCTCTTGTAGCCCTGGCTGTTCTATGTACTTAAAGAGTCTTTATAAACTTAATGACTAAGTTTGTTGTGGACTACCAAAAAGAGGGTTCAAGTGAGGTCATTATGTATTATACTTTAAATATTACCATTGAAAACTGTGGGGACAGAACAGTGTTTCTGATTCCTAAGTAGATCCAATCACAATAGATATATTAAAATAAGAAATAACGTGTATTATCAAATAGTTGATTTTTCACAGTTCTAGCATTTATGGTCCAGAAATGAATAAAATAGTATGCTGCAAAAGGGTGGGTCTCCTGATCAAGTCATAGTATTATTGTTTGGAATATTGATCCTATAAATCTTCCAATTAGGTGTTTGTGGTTTTTGTTTGTTTTATAGGAACTGGAGGTCTGCCCTTCAGCCAGTTTCCCCCAGTGGTAATTTCTTCCATACCTGTCACGCAGGGTCAGACCAGAAATGGATGTTATAATCCATGGACTTACTTCCATTGTACCAGCTTTTCTTGTGAGACGAATTAAGTTTAAATAGCAGTTAGTAGGTTAGTATCTGATGTCCGACATCACATGTTGCATTTTATCTTGAAAAGAAGCAGTGTAATGCCCTAGCCAGTTTGGCTCAGTGAATAGAATGTTGGCCTGCAGACTGAAGGGTCCCAGGTTCGATTCCCATCAAGGGCCTGGGTTGTGGGCTTGATCCCCAGTAGGGAGCATGCAGGAAGCAGCCAATCTCTGATTCTCTCTCATCATTGATGTTTCTCTCTCTCCCTCTTCCTTTCTCTCTGAAATCAATAATATATATTGATTTATGTATATATATATAAGTAGCGTAAGATTATAGTATAATGGATTCTGTACAGATGAAACTGATATACTATTGTACGCCAACTATAATTTTTTTAAATGGGAAAAATTATATAATGGATTCTTGCTTGTAAGTCAGATCATCTAAGTTCTAGTATTGACTGCAATTTTTTAAATTATACAACTGATACTAAATTTGGAAGCTACAGAAAATTGTGACGCGGAAAATAAAATTGTACGCCCTCTCTAGTGTTAGCAGTCGGTGCGTTTCTTCTCGGTGTTTTCTTGCGTACGTGGTTATGTGCCCTGGCGTGTTATTTGAACTTCTCTGTGGAATTACACAGACACTGAGAACAAATGTGCAGCCCAGTGGGTCCCTCGGAATCCCTTTGTCCACCGTTTAGGTCAAGAAACAGCTTTGAGGTCGCTTGCAAGTCCCAGGTCTCCGTCCAAGCCTCTTCCTCTTCCCCAAAGTAACCACTGCCCTGACTTCACGCTAATTACCTCCTCGGTTCATTGCCGTTAATAACCCAAGTGTGCATCCTTAGACACTATGGCTTAGAGTTCTTCTAAAAAGCAGGCCCTTTAAAATCTGTCTGACTCTAAAAAGTCTGTTTCTACCTCCTACCCCCTCCCGTGTTTCTGTTGAACAGCTTGGGCTGTTGGCTCAGCGCAGTTGCCCCCATCTGAACTTTGCAGGTTGTGTTATGTGGTGTAGTTTAGCACAGTTCTCTGTTTATTTCTTGTAAATTGGTTGTATCTAGAGGGTTTGAATTTTGAAGTCGTTTTTGGCGGGACTGTAGATGGCACGGTGCTCTTTCACAGGGAGGCACCTGGTCACTGTCAGGTCCCATTGTCTGGATCTTTGGTAGGGGGGTGTTCTCATTCTGTCACCTGTCCTTCCCATGGTTAACCAAACAACAGGGAAATGCTTGATTCTCTCTCTCGTTTTCGTAATGTGGCAATGCCCCGTCATCCTCCAAAGGGATCATGCCTTCTTTGGAACTTAAAAGTATCATTATGAACGAGTGGGTTTCAATATATCTGACGTGTATTGGCAGTCTTCTCATCGGAGCTGTGTCCTGGCTGCGGGACGGAGCCTCTGCAGGTGGGCTCTGGCGGACCTCGTTATCATGTTCTGACAACTTCCTTGCTGTGACAGGCTGTTCTCAGTCACCTCTTACATGTCCTGCCCAGACCTGGAAGTAGCCATTTCTCCAGGAAGCCTGGTTTCTTTTAGTAGGGAGTGGTACTTTAAAATCACAGTCTGAGTATTAGATATCCTCATTGGTACTGGATGGCGTTGTGTCTAGGCCTTTTAAGGGGACAGACGCAGGACAACCAATAATGTCTTCTGTTTTACGTCTCTATCTCCTTTCTTCTGTGTCAGCAGTTGTGGCTCTAAGCACAGAGGGGATGCAGAATTAGAATGTTTCTTACCCACTCATTTGCTTTGTGTACGAATGGAATCGCTAAAACAGCCTCAGCACAAGGACGGCCATTATCTCGGAGCGGTGGCTGAAAGCGCTGTGTGCTGGGCTTTCCCGTCCTTCCCCCATTTGAGTAGCACTTGTATCTGCACCAGCAGGTCACATGGCCGCTGCGTCCTATCCTCTCTGCTCTGACAATCAAGTTGCTCTATATTGTTGTCATTGCTACCAAGTTGCTCAAATTTGACAACATTCAGAAACCACCTCACTACTACCCTTTTTAATTGTATTATTCAATCTGTTTAGCTTTCCTTTCACTTAACGTTATAAAGTGTGGATCACTTTCTCATGTATTTATTAACCTAAACAAAAACATTTTAAGTTGAAATATATTGTGCCCTAGGTTTGTATCATGATTTATTGAACCATTTGATTATAAATGGCATCTCCGTTTTCACATAGAGGAAGGATTCAGTGGTCACTCTCAGGGGATCAGGGCTGCGATGCACTAGTTTTGTCGTCAGTGTTTGCATTTCCAGGAGACTGATGATGCTCTGTGTTTCAGCATGCTGCACGAGGACCCGGGCCGGAGGGCGCCCGCCGACGTGGCTCTGTGCAGCCCCTTCTTCAGCATTCCTTTTGGTACGTTGTGCATGGCTCTGTTCCTTTCTGGGTTGTTGGAACTAATGTATATTTCCAAGCTCCCCTGCCTGGTGTTCATCCATGTATTTGGGGAGCTTACATCTGACAATGTCATAACAAACCCCAACAGCCCCTCACATCGAAGACCTGGTGATGCTCCCCACCCCGGTGCTGAGGCTGCTCAATGTGCTGGACGGTGACTACCTCGAGAGCGAGGAGGGGTACGAAGGTCAGTGCTACCTTAGCTGGCTGTTCACGTCTTTCTTAACAGGTCTGCCGGGGACCTCTCGCCCCAAGATTCTCAGCGCTTCCTCGTCTATACAGTGAGGATGTTGAATTCTGTGATTGCTAAAATGCTCTCACTTTTTGATTCCTGCTATAGACTGTGTCCCCCAGAGTTCCTGTGGCAAAGCCCTCGTCCGCAGTGTGATAGTATTTGGAATTGGAGCCAGTTCTGGTAAATCTGAGGCAGGTGACATGCAGAGGGCAGAGCTGCACTTGAGCCTGTCAGGACTTGGCTGAGGCTGGGGGTGAGGAGCAGCCAGAGACCTGGCTGAGGGCAGGTGTGGCGTGGTAGAGAGCGGCCAGTTGTTTGGTGTGACTGCACCATAGGATATTTATTGGGGAGCAGTCAGTTTGCTGTGTTGAAGGACTTGAATTTTATCCCAGAGGTCGCAGCCTTGGAACATAAGCTTGCACAGAGCTCTGGGTCAGGCCCAGAGCACTCCCTGTTCATTGTTGAACGAGGCAGGAGCCATTACAGGTGTCAGGGAGGAGGGACTCAGACTTACGCTTCCCTACAAGCATTCTGGAAGCACAGTGGTGAGTGGGCTACCCAGAGCCAGACTCAAAATGTCATTTTCTTTGTGGAGAGTCAAACCAGTGCAGGCAGGGCTACCTTAACTACCCTGTTTCCTGGAAAGTGTAAATCATTTGACAACGCTGGGCTTTGCATAGTTATCTGACAAATGAAACAAAGATAATTTATTTGAACCTGTGACGGTTGTTAGTACCTGTAGCCTCGACTTTTCAGGACATCTCATCTGAAAGGAGGGCCGAGCCCTCAGCTTTGCTTTAGTCAGGCCCTTAGGGTGCAGTGGTTCTGTCTCCTGGTAATTTTCATCTTTACAAAACTCCGGCGTGGCTCTCTTGGGTAAACCTCAGGTAGACGACACCTGCTCTTTGCTATTTCACTGTGCAACCCTTTCTTTATGCTCCTAAACGCACCGAGTGTTTTAAATGTTGTTTGAATGTAGACACTGAGTCTTAGTGTTTAAGAGTCTCTCATGAATGCCTTTGTTTTGATTGGAAGGTCTTCATTAGATGACATGGAATGAGGTTTGGGTGAGCTTGCTTAGTTACCGTGTGGGGTAGTCTGTCGTCTCGGGGGGGAAGGGAGTGAGATTCAGATCTTCCTGTTTAGACCAAAATAAATTCTCAATCAAGTGAAGATGAAAATATTAAAAAACAAAACATAAGACAAAGTAAGGGAAGGAATAGAACAGGGCTGGAAGGAAAAGGAGGGAGGGAAGGAAGACAGGTGGGAATAAAAGAAAAAAAGTTAACTTAAAAGTCATGGGAGATTTTTAAAAATAATATTCCTGGAGCAGGAAAGGCCTCTTACAAGTTCATCACAAAACTCAGAAACAGTAAAATGGTAATGCAACAAATTTTACCCTGAGAAAGATTAAGACAAGTAACAATCTAAGAAAAAACAGACACAGCTCTTATCAGAGACAGAGGCCCTGTTAACCCACCCGGGAGGCAGTGGGCGAAGGACACGGACGGTCCCCAGGAAAGGGTGTGCCAGAGTATCTCCCGTGGATTTTGTTCTCGTTTATTGAAATGCTCATTAGAACCCACTGTGATGTCCGTGACCCGTCGTGTTCACAGTGGGAACATCCTTGATGACCCTCTGTGGGGTCAGTACGGAGGTCACTGCAGAGAGTTCACGTCGGTAGGACTATGAAATGTGATGCTAACAGAATCGATTCAGACCACGTGACCTAGCAGTTCCATTTCTAGGAAGGCAACTTAGAAATATGCAAATGAAATGAGACCTGTGCCAGCTTACCTATTATAGATTGTTTAAATGTTGTTTGAACGTAGATATTAATCTGCTTTTGAGCAGTAGGAGGCATATTTAGAGACTTGATCAACCATTCAGAGGGTGAAATATCACACAGCCACAAAAACAAACAAGAAATTCATATAAGGATTTTGAAAGATCTTAAAGATTCAGTGTTAAGAAAGGGCAAGACTGGAATTTTTCACTTAAAAACATCATATTTGCTTGTAGGAGCTTATGTTTATGGAAGAGATGATCATGCTTGTTGACTTCAGGGAGGGGCCGGAATGGAAGCTGGGAAGGAGGAGGAGGACTGCTACTTTCAGATTTTGGATTTTGAATCATTCGGATGTATTAGCTATTCAAAGTGTTAAAATACAAAAAGAAAACTTTTAAATATATGAATTTATATTACACTTAAGCTTAATTTTCAAAGCTATAGAGAGCGATCTCATGACTTAAATATGGATTCCTGAGTTCTTTGATGATGTACATTTTTTGAATAATGGATCTTGTTGTTAATTACATTGAGTGGGGCTGTGTTTGGACACACAGATGCTGTGGAAGACGTGCGGGAGGAGTGCCAGAAGTATGGGCCGGTGGTGTCGTTGCTGGTTCCCAAGGAGAGCCCTGGCCGGGGACAGGTGAGAGGCGCTCTCCTCACTCGTCAGTGCGAGACGACTGCAGTTCGCTCCATGGGGTTTCAGTTCTGCAGAAAATGTAGACGAAAACGTTGCTGGAGGTTATGAAGTTTTCATTATGGAGGCTTTGTTTTCTGTACTTTTTCATTTTTTCCCGAAGTTCTATAACAGGGGTCCTCAAACTTTTTAAACAGGGGGCCAGTTCACTGTCCCTCAGACCGTTAGAGGGCCGGACTATAGTTTAAAAAAAAACTAGTCGGCTGCTAAGCAACAGGCAGCGGCGGCAAAAACACCTGGCGGGCCGGATAAATGTTTTCGGCGGGCCGCATGTGGCCCGCGGGCCGTAGTTTGAGGATCCCTGTTCTATAATATGCATACATTTATCAGTTAGTATTTGTTTTTTAAAAAGCATTAATCTTCTTTTGAGCCATTGAAAATGGTGACACCAACAGAATCATGTGCAACTCTGACTCAGGTTCAGTACAAAAATATTTTGGCCCGATTTTGTTCTAATTGAGTAGAGTTAGAAAACCATTTAGGTTATGTTCTGATCATAACAGAATTACCAGCCATCTGAGTTCCAGTCTTTGTGGCACTTCTTAGTTGTTTTTTTATCTATAAAATGTATGGGCTAAACCTGGGATCACAGAGTTTTCCTTAGAAACTGTGATTTTAAATTAAATTATATGGCAAAGAAGATAGGAGAAGTCTTCCTTCTGTCTGTAGTATTTTTATTTTCTGGAAAACTGAATATTGTTTTACCATCTCAGTTTCCCAGCCTGCACACCTTTGAAACATGCTCTGGGAAGTTCCTGCTGGGCCTGTCTAGTGCACGGGGGCCGTCTAGTGCATGGGGGGCCGTCTAGTGCACGGGGGCCGTCTAGTGCACGGGGGCCCGTCTAGTGCACGGGGGCCATCTAGTGCATGGGGGGCGCCTAGTGCACGGGGGCCGTCTAGTGCACGGGGGGCCGTCTAGTGCACGGGGGCCATCTAGTGCATGGGGGGCGCCTAGTGCACGGGGGCCGTCTAGTGCACGGGGGGCCGTCTAGTGCACGGGGGCCATCTAGTGGGCCGTCTAGTGCACGGGGCTGTTTTGGACACTGAGCTATCTCAGTGGGTGTGGAGGAGTCAGAATGGGAAAGAGAGCTCGGGGTGGAGGGCGCTGGTAGGTGTGAGGGTCAGTGCGCCCTCAGAGTGGGAGTGGGGAGAGCAGGTGAGATCACAGAGGTGTGGGTTGGCAGGCTGAGGAGGGAGGCTGAAGGTTTTGAATTGAGGACCAGTGTGGTCCAGACCTGACCCGGGAAGCAGGAGGAGCGTTCAGGTGGGTGTCCTCACCAAGGTGACAGGAAGGAGGAGTCTCCTGCGAGAGGACACGCGCGCTGAGACGCTTCCCTGGAGTTTCCGTGGGAGGAGTGACAGTCACTCACTAGCCTGGAGCCCCAGGTCTTAGCTCCTTTCGGGTTTTGAGAATGTTTGTGATCCGGTCCCTCATCCCCTGACCTGGTTCAGCACAGAGGAGCCTGTCCCCCAGACGGACAGCCTCACAGGCGCTGCAGCCCTCTCCGTGGGGACCACACACCCAGTACAAGGACAGGCCAGGAGCACCTCAACCAGGTAAAGCCACTGCCACCTTAGTACACACTTCTGTGGTCATGTGGAGCCAGCCTGTCCCTGGACTTGGGAGCACTTCCAGGTTGTAATGGTGTGAACTGTACACCCACTTTATTTCTGCCATCAGTTCCGTGCCAGAGAAAAGCTTTGTGCCAGAATAGGGTCAAGCACCCAAACAAGTTTTCCAAGTCAGGATATTGAGTCCTCCATCCTACACCCTCTTCAGGTTTTTATGAACCACACAGTTCCTTCATCTGACACGATTCCAGCACGCAGTCACCAGACATCTCGCGCGGCAGTGCCGGGGTCCTTGACCTCCGTCCTCATTTATTTTTTAATTAAAAAACAATCCTCCTCTGAGGATATGTTTGTTTTTTTAATTATTTTTAGAGGGAGGGAGGGAGGGAGGGAGTGGGGAAGGAGGGAAGGGGAGAGAGAGAGAGAGAGAGAGAGAGAGAGAGAGTGATATGAGATGAAACATTGATCGGCTGCCTCCTGAATGCACTCTGACCAGAGATCAAACCCGTAACCTTTTGGTGTATAGAATAACGCTCCAACGAACTGAGCCACCTGACCAGGACTCCGTCTTGATTTCTTTCTTTCTTTCTTTTTTTAAAATACGTTTTTATTGATTTCAGAGAGAGGAAGGGAGAGGGAGAAAGAGAGAGAAACATCAATGTGAGAGAATCATCGATTGGCTGCCTCCTGCACGCCCCCTTGCTGGGAATTGAGCCTGCAACCTGGGCATGGGCCCTGACCGGGAATTGAACTGTGACCCCCTGGTTCATAGGTCGATGCTCTACCACTGAGCCACACTGGCCAGGCTCTATCTTGATTTTTTATTCTTACTGACTCTCAGGCCACCTCTCCCTTCCTCCTGACAGTCACTTTGAAGGTGATGTGTGCACCACCCAGGCAGTTCCTGCCGATATTTCCAGTTATTCCAGTCTATGCCCTTGCTCATGGGGCAGCATTGACACCTTCTATGTTCTCGTTCTGACCATGGGGGAAGGAAGCAGGGGGAGGCTGTGGGACAGTGTTTATAAGTCCACAGTAGTGGACAGTGATGTCCTCTGCCTTCACATGCACTCATCACTCACCCAGAGCAGCTTCGAGTCCTGCAGGCTGTGTGCGTGCTCAGTGCCTGCTCAGGTGGCCGCTTCTCCACTGTGTTGAACTGACCTTTCCTGTGCACAGATGTGTTTAGGTGCCGAATACTTACACTGGCACAGGTGCCTGCAGTGCCCACACAGTCCCCGCCGTGCAGGCTGCAGCCCATGCCATCCAGGTGTGCGGAAGGGCCTGTGCTGTTTGCATAGGGAAATCGCTCACAACTCACTTCTCAGCACATGCCCTCACTAGGCAGAGCAGGACTGTGTTTGGAGTCGCCTCCTCTTTTCGTGCCTGGAGGATGCTACGCCCTGCGGAGGTGACTGCTCTGTCCAGGTGGGAAGGGCTCCTGCGAGATGGAAGTGGCTGCCGCCTGAACTGCTGCGTAGACCTGATTTTAGGAAAAGGTGCAGATGAACGTTGAGAACCTAGAAACTGATTTCCTTGCACTGTCGCTTGCTGCCCTGTGGGAAGTAGGTGCCGTGCCCGTGCTAGTGCGGTGGCTGGTCCTAGTCTCCTGGCGACCGAGGACATGCCGTTTCAGGCGGTTTCTCCTCCCTGGGACTCCGCTTCAGGTCAGACAGCACTTGGGAGCAGTGATGCCATGTCCTCCTCCAGGCTTAGGTCGGGTCAGATGCCCTGGAAAGGGAGGTGACCTTCTTTCCTGCAGTCCTGGCATCCACACGTCTTTCCTCTTTCCCCCGACAGTGGCTGCCTCGGGCGTGCTGAGGGCTCTCGGGCCTGCCGCCTGTCTGGCCATCCTGCACTGCCCGGCACTGCTCTGCGAATGGCACGAGGCTGTATGTCGTCACCCAACTGGACTTTGTTGGATTTTCTGAATCGACTGAGCTCCAAGGGAGCGTTCTCAACCTTGCTGCTCAAAAATGTGGTCCACGGGCCGGCAGCATCGGCCTCCCCGGGGCTCCGGTGGCCACGTGGGGCCTCGGCAGAAATGCCCTGAGAGCCTGGTGGGAACGAGGCCATGTGTTCTGTCTCCGCAGGTCTTTGTCGAGTACGCGAATGCTGGGGACTCCAAAGCCGCTCAGAAGCTGCTGACGGGAAGGCTGTTTGACGGGAAGTTTGTCGTGGCTACGTTCTACCCGCTGAGTGCCTACAAGAGGGGGTACCTGTACCAGACCTTGCTTTAATCAGCAGCCTTGGGAGACGTCCTGCGTCTCCGCTTCCATTTTCCGGTTATTATATTCCACCCAAATGCAGGAGCACCCCTTCCCGCGGGGGTGGGGGGACACCTTGTACATTTGTTTCACCTGCTCACGGGCAGCTGTTGCTCAAGCAGTGACTGCACTGCAGACATGGGCCCCGCGCAGGACGGGCCTCTCCCCATCCCGGGAGGGTCCCTGCTGCGTGCAGCCTCGACACTCATTATTGCATGTGATCATGAGTCGGGAGTGACGGGCCGTGCCCAGCGAGCATGGACACGCTGTTGGAGTGGTGATGTCTCCTGCACAGCACTCCTGTGTCGTCCATGTCCTTGGCGGGCTGGGAGCTCCGTGACGTTACCTCCTTGTCCACACTGAGTTACCATCGGTCCAGAAGTCCTGTATTCGAATATTCCTTTAAGGAGCCTGCAGTGAGCCTGGCTACAGGCTTTTAAATTAAGGCTTTTAAGCTGGAAAGCTGATGCTTGATGTTGCACAACCTGATGTCTGGCGTGTGCTCGTGTGAGTGCAGGTGGGGGAGTTAGAGAAAACCTGGGTCGGTCCTTTTCCTGTGAGTCCTGTGAGCTGATCCCGCCCACACCAACCCATTCCCCACACAGCATACCTGTAACGTTCAGGATGTCAGCTTGTTTGAGAGTTGGCCTGTCTGATGGAAGGTAAATGAGAAACATTCCTGAGAGGCTCAGAGCAAGTGAGTCTAGACTGGGTTCCATTGAAATCGCTTAATTTAGTGGTTGGATCAGAGGGAAAGTTCTGCCCCGAGCGGCTGCCTCATTCCATCTGCGTTAGACCCGGGTGAGCTCATCTCTGCTGAATCTCGTGATCACTGCTGGCTCCCTCAGAGTGTTCTCCCTGCATGACGGGAACTGAGTGGCCAAAAAGAACAAGCTCGATGTTCAGTGAAAGCAGAAGAAGAAGCAGTGGGCACAGGGTGGGTGACGGGGGTTCTACTGTCTGCTCCCTCCTTCCCTGGCGGAGCCAGCGCCTCGCCCTCAAGGTCTGAAGTCAGGAAGGTGAGGCCGCCCAGATGGGATTTGGAAGGAAGGAAAACTGCACTGAGGTCGGGGACACGGGGTCACGGGGTCACGGGCTTCCTGTCACTTTACTGCAGATTGTCTGTAAGGGTTTAAACTTAGGGAACCTTTATAAAGCACTGATTATACAAAAAGTAGTCGTGTACAGAGTATGACCTTTTTGTTTCCTTTCCTAAATGAAATTGCTATTTTGTTTTTTTCCTAAGGAATGTTCTTGTGTGTCTTGCCCACTGGAGCTGTGCAGGCCACCGAGAGCCCCGAGCCCCAGCGAAGCTTAAACTTCAGAGGGGAGTTCTGGGACCTGTGCAACAGCGACTGTCCCATAGTTCAGTTGCTTAGTCACCAAATTGTCTAGCCTCTTAGTGTGCACTCGGAAGCCCAGTTTTGCGTAGAGGCTGGTCCCGGGGGAAGTCAGCGGGTCCGCACGGCCCTGCGGAGGAGGAACTCTTCCCTGTGCCCTTGCAGAGGCCAGTTAGTGGTTTGATTCCAAACACTAATTCAAGAGAATGAACCGTACGGTGGGACCTAAGCGGTCCTGAGACACATGTTTGTGCGGGTGGTAGCTTCCCTGGTGATGAAAAACCTGGTCCTTCTCTACCTGCCGGTGAACACAGTACAGGGGGATTCTTTTCGAGGGCAAGCATTCTAGGTGAGCACTGAACCTCGCATTCCCCCGTCCTGACCACCAAAACCCAAGTCCTTAGAATAAATGCTGCAGTGGCTTCTGGCAATGGCTGCCTATTCCGCGCTGCGTCCTACAGCGCTCCTCCGTTCTCGTCTCAGTGCTGTGCATGCAAATATTTGTGTGGTGTTTAACACACAGAGTGTCATACAGAAGATGCTGGTAGATTATAAGGGAGCTGAGGGAATACTTGGTGAGCCTAAGTACCATTTATTGAATTAAATATTTTATATTAAAGCCACAAAATTGAAAAAAGATGCCTCCTATGATTTAAATTATTTCCTAGCTCTTAGCCCATTACTACCAAAGACATTTGTATTCTTCTCACAGGATCAGAAATTCAGTCTTAGTATCTTCTTAAACCTCAACCAAATATTTTCAAAGATGCCCTTTTCATGATTCATTTAGGGTGAAATATATGCACAGATTTAGATCCTTTGAAATTATTAAAAACCTAGAAATTTTCTTTTTGAAAGGTGAGGGGTCATGTCACTTAACCCCAACCCTTTTGGGAAAATTTGATCTCAGGTAGTTTTTCTTTGCTGAATTAGCATCTGTGCTTCCTTCCTTCTCCTCCCCGCCCACCAGTTTCTTTTTCTTTGTTCATGGTTTCAAGGTGTGTTTTTGCCCAGACAAAGGCCTGTAAATTGGTTCTTCTGTGGTGTTTTGGTTGTTTGGAGAGAGATGTTGAGGTTGGCAGGTAGCACTTTCCCAGCTTCGAAGCGTCTGTAAGAAGAAGCATCAGGCTGCACTCGCCCTTGAAGGAGACTAGAGACTCCTGCAGGGGAGGCTGCCTGTGGGCCTGGTGTCCCCTTGGGCCCGTCCTCCCCGCAGCCCTGAGAGCTCCCTCTGCTGGGCCCTGATCAAACTGCGCCCTACACCTTGGTCCTGGAGCACACACTGCCAGCTGCTGGCATGCTGGCTTTCATTCACTGTTGTAAAGTTCCATTGTACTGGGTTTATATTTAACCTTAGAGCAAGTTTATTTTAAGGAATGCTGCCAGAAACATTGCTGCGAGTGGGGGAGACTGCCTGCCTGAGGCGGTTTTCTCTGATTACCCAGCTTTCACCTGCTTGCACTGGCCACCCCTCCTGAAGGCCACAGCCCTCACCTGGCTCAGGGCTTGAGTTTACTGATCAAATGCAGGTCCCTGACACTTTGGCATCAGTTTCTTTTTAGGTCTTATTTTTCACTTACCATTGGTAGGCCCGTCTTACATAATTTCTGCTACCAGTGACACCTGGCAGGGGGACGTTGTTTTTGATAATTTAATGGAAACCAACACCATCATAACTGATAGCAGTTATAACAGTTTGTTTCTGGGTGAGAGAGTGGGGGAGACGCTCAGGAACCGAGGCTGGCATGCTGGGTGCGGCTGCGGCTGTTCGGGGGGCGCAGGTGGGATCACATCGGACTTAGTCTGCAGGTGAGCAGGTGTCCGAGGTTTAAGCAAGTGCCTTGTTTCCTGGAAACACTGACACTCTTTGGGCTGGAAGCTTCCCAGGTGGTGACAATGAATGGCACCCCTGGCTTTTCCTGGAATAACCTTTGGGTGGAGTCACAGTAAAAAGTCCAACGTTTCCTTGGTTTACCTTTTCGTGTGTGTGTAAACCTATTCATGTTTAACTTCCCCCAATGTTACACTTGCTGGAAAGCCAGAGCCACCTGGTAGCATCTGGTTCTTCCTCGGGTCTAGTTCCATGTCTACACTAAGCTCCCCGAGTCCTGCCCCGCTGGCTCTGACGCAGCTCATGTCGTTCTTGTCCAGGGGGCACCTCCAGACCAGCCCGGGGGCATCTTTCCCAAGGTGCTCAGTGACCCCTTCCCCTCCAGAGGGTCGTCTTTCCACGTGAGTGGCGTGCTGGCTTTCTCTGAAGACGAAACACTGCATCTCCCCACAGGGAGCCCGCTGAGCCTCCCGCGTCGGGACGAGCGGCACTGCCAGCAGCAAGGGCACAGGGCCCCTCGGTCTCAGCACCAGCCTCCAGAGTGCTTTGCTCAGTTAGGTCAGCTCCCTTCACCTGCCAGGTGCACCCTGTCTGTTAGCTCCTGTTTCATGTTTGACTTGTTTAAATTGTACAATGACCAGTAGGTTCACAACAATGGTGCACAGTTGACAAGTGCTGTGAATATTTAAAAAGGCAAAGCAATTTTAACTATTTCTGCTGCAATTTTATAGGAGCAGGTCTGTAAAAAAAAATGTACCTACAAGCCAAGAGCACTGAGTTTTTTTATTTCGCAGGGGGACCTCAGGTGACGGGCACAGCCTGTGCTCTCCCACAGGAAGTTTTCGCCGTCTCCTGCAGCTCAGCGCTTGGCTGTTCAGCACTGCTTCTGCGATGACTGACGCTTTAAATTTGCTTTACTTGTGCTTGTTAGAGAGTTGTCATAACCATGACAGATGTGTTTGTGGCACCGTGAATGCTGGCATTCATGGGAAACTTCTGCCTGCGTGGTCCTTCCCACGGGGCCCAGTGGCTGGCACGGCGGGTGTCCTAGCGACACCAGAGTTCCCTGAAGCCACACGTGCTTCATGATGGGGGTTCCAGCACTTTCACTTCAAGGCAAAGAGCAGCATTCTGTCTTATTTGCCTATGACCATTAGTCCTCGTGCAGAATAGAGCTTATTTTGTTAATGAAAATAAGTCACATTCGGAATAAGAAGAAAAACCCAACCGAATTGTTAGTTCTGTTCCTTTTTGGGAAACCTGTGTAAACACTAGAGCTGTTTGTTATCAGAAACACGGATCGTCAGCAAGAGAATTATTTGTAGGCACTTTCGTACCCCAATTTGGATTGTCTTCCGCTGCTAGGTGATCCCCAAATAGTGCGATGTCAGGACGGGAGAGCTGCCCGCCCCCCCCTCGGTCTGGTGTGCTCTGCAGCGGTTACTGTGCTGCGTGGGCGCCAGAGCTGCTGTGGGAGAGCAAGGAAGAGAAAGATAAGAGGCAGCAACAGTGATGAGGGCACAACTGCTTCCTGGCTGGTGTCGGTGACCTTCCATGGAGTGTGTGACTGAGAGGTGTCTTTTTTGAGGTCCGGTTTGGGGCCTGTAGCATAGTCCGTTACCTTCCTGCACATTCCTCTATTGTTCACCCAGAAAATTCTTTTACGTGTGTGTGGAACCAGGTTGACTACCTTGTTCGATTTGTCCTCATTTTTAAAATAAATGTTTGGAGCCCAGCTTTTGTGCGTTCAGTGCACGTCCACGCTCATGTAGGCCAGGGATAGACTGCCCCGGGGCGGCCAGTCCCACGCTCCCCTGCAGGTGGGGCCAGTGGGAGGGAGCAGTGTTTGTTCATGCGAAAGCTGAGCTGCACGACTGCACACCTGCTTGCAGGGGCCGAGCGGCCATCCTTCCCGCAGGGCAACGCCCCATCCTGCGCTCTTTGGGGGAAATCTGAGGTACCCTGACAGTCCTTTATGTGCTCGCCACCGCATGCAGTCGGGTGGGAGGGCTGTGCTCACGATGTGAGCTCCCTCTGTGGCGTGTGACTGCTGGGCCACAGGCGGACACCCCGAAAGCCTGTGGGTTTGCCCTCGCTGAGAGCTACTGGAAACGGCGTGCTGCTTCCGGGCCATAGTCTCTGTTCCTGGTGACGTCTTGTCTGTGAGTTGTTTTTCAGGACTGAGTGGGACTGAATGTCGCTGGGATCGGTGCCGAGAAGTTACTTCTCAGATCCCTACATCGATTTCTACTCGAGTCTTAAAGCTGTTTTTCTTGCTGAGTAGCAAAGAGCCTTTATTTTCCACTTTCCTACGTACCGGAAGTATGGGCTCTGTGTTGCTGTTGAGTGTATTGTGTGTAGTTTTTGCTGACAACTTTTGTGAACACAAATGCCTTGTTCAGTTTTGTTGTAAACTGACGCACCATGAGATGCACTGTTGATATGCTTTCTGATGTCTGTTTGATAAGGGTGGTAAAATAAAGCTTAAAAATAAAGGAATGGCTTCGTTATTTCAACTCTTTCTGTATTTAGTGTAAGTATTCATGTTAGATTCTTTCTTTTTTTAAAATATTCACAAACGCCAGTGGAGTCTCATTACTCATGGATTTTGTATTTTTTTAATTTTATTTTTAATATATTTTATTGAGTTTTCACAGAGCGGAAGGAGAGGGATAGAGAGTTAGAAACATCAATGAGAGAGGAACATCGACTCAGCTGCCTCCTGCACCCTCCCCACTGGGTATGCACCCACAACCAAGGTACATGCCCTTGGCCAGAATCGAACCTGGGACCTTTCATTCCGCAGGCCGACGCTCTATCCACTGAGCCAAACTGGTTAGGGCTCATGTTAGATTCTTACTTTGGACTCTAAAGAGACAGCAAATAGTTTCTGTGAAAGATTATGTGGCCTTAAAGTTAAGAAATTGGTTTTTTAATTCCTTCTCCTGCGTAACATTGTGACTTGAAGAAGCGCAGTCCCCGGTCCCTTCGCAGCATGAGCGCCCTGCCCTGCCCCTGCTGAGCAGACGCCAGTTCACACGGGCTTGGGACCTGCAGTTCTCTGTTCTCGGTTCCACAGCAGGTGGGGATGGGCGGGCTGCAGCGTGGGGCCACTCACTGCTTCCACGGCGTGTCCCATAGCTGCATGTGCACTTTATAATGTGTAGGATGTTACATATGATGTCCATGTGTGTGCTTCAGTATCTTCATTTACATGTGAAATAGCAATACTGCTCAGATCAGTTCACAGGACAGTGGTCATGGAAGGGTGTGCATTTAAGTACGAGCCGAAGGGAATGTGGCTGGAGTGGGAGGACCTGGGAGTCTGGGACAGGGGCTCTGTGCCCTGAGCTGAGATTGATGATGAAGTGGGAGCACTGTTGTGCTCCTGTTGGAAAATACTCAGCAGACGGAAGCAGCGGTCACCGCTGCAAGAGGGAACCTTGAAGAGAGCTCAGTGGCAGACCACGGAGACTGAAGTTGAGTTCTTGCCTTTTGAAGTGAAGCTCAGGAGGAGGACACTGCATTTCAGGTGGAAACGAGCCATTTAAAAGGTCTTGGGCTCCTTTGATCACCAAGGGGCCCAATCCTGTGCGACTGGCAGTTGGGAGACCAATCTGTCATTGTAGTTATTTTTATTTATTTTTTTTAATATATTTTATTGATTTTTTACAGAGAGGAAGGGAGAGAGATAGAGAGCCAGAAACATCGATGAGAGAGAAACATCGACTCAGCTGCCTCCTGCACCCTCCCCACTGGGTATGCACCCGCAACCAAGGTACATGCCCTTGACCGAAATCGAACCTGGAACCCCTCAGTCTGCAGGCCGACGCTCTATCCACTGAGCCAAACCGGCCAGGGCCCATTGTAGTTATTTTTGTTTAGAAAGGCCAACTGTATGTTTAACTGTATGTTAAAACTGTTATAAGAGGTGTTTGGAGAGAAAGGATCAAGCGTGTAAAGGCTGATCTTTAAGAATGAAAGTCAAAGTTCAGTTAAGCAGCGATCGAACAAGTTGGAATTGGAGCCGTGTGCTGGCCTGCAGAGCTGAGAGAGGCTTTGGGGCCGGCGGGTGGGAATTCTGCTCCCGGGAGGCTGTGACTGTTGTGGGTGTTCTCCGGGAAGCCTGAATGGAAGCCCGCTTCCAGGAGGGATGGGAGGGCCCGGCTGGCAGCAGCACCCGGCACCCGACTCCACCTGGCACCAGCGCGGCCTCACTCCCACTGCACCTCTTGCTCCCTCTGCCTGACGAACATAAATCAATGTATGTTCTTCCTGAGCCATGGAAAGTTGCAGACCCCGGCAGACGTTGGTGGGACTCTCCTGGGAGCAGTGTCCTGTCACCACCTTGTCACAGCCTGGAGTTTGGCACTGACCAGAGCGTCCCAGCACAGACACAGGCGGCTTTTCTCCTTGCCCCGCCCAGCGCCCACGCAGGACTTGTATTTAAAGTATCTGTGAGAATGTGGGATGCTAGTGTTTCGCAGAACACAGTTTGGGAAAAACGAGCTTAGATTGTGTATTTAAATGTGTCCCCTTTTGGTCATGTAGCCATTGTGAGCACTTGGTTAACGGGTTTCCTTAGGGAGCAGTGCTGGCTGCATGTCATCCTGCGCCTGGGTGGCCCCTGGGTGGGGGGTGGGGGGAGCCACTCACTGCTTCAGGGTGATCCTGGGAGAAGGAACCCCTGTCACTTGCTAACAATGAACAGACGTAGTAGATTCTTAAAATTTTCCATTTCTAGTTACATCTTTTCCTATAAATTCCATGCTCAATGAAAATTTGCAGAAACCGTATGTTCCCTCCCCTCTCTTTTTATGTCACTGTGGGTGGGGGCGGGAGGGCAGAGGAATGGCATGCTGAAATGTCATAGGTTTCAGGGCCTGAACTTGAAGAAACTGTTTTGATGGAATGTCTGACTCTAAGAGGAAAAGGAAGGGCAAGTAGGATCCAAAGAACCATCATAATTGACAGATGTCCTGGTGGTTCTTTAATAAAAAACAAACTTTATTACCTAAAGTTCCGTGACCAATAATGCTTACGAACACATGCTTGGGAGTGGCGCCAGACGGGTCCCAGGCCGCCGCTGACTCCGTGAGGCGCTGCGCCCGCATGTGAGGCCGAACCAGGAAGTGTCCTGCATCCGGAGCAGAGGCGCTGGCTGTGTCTGGATTCTGCCTTCAGAGCAGGTGTGTGGTCGCCCCAGGCCACTGGCCGTTGGTGAGTATTCCTTGTCATCAATGCTGTCCAGTTTGCATGTGGAGGTCTCGCTAACAGTCCCCAACATTGCTCATTACGTATCATTAGGTTAATTATGATGTTTATAGACCTTAATCATACCTTGTAATTTTGGAGGTGGGGAGAATTCTGTTTTATGTTTTAGCCAAAAGCAAAGGATCATTTCTACTCCCTCAGAAATAACAAGTCTGATTCCCTTCAGAATCATTTTAGTGTTGTGATCTTATATTTCTGTGTCCTTTCTCATGATCTAAGTGACAGCCATTCCAGCCTGTATGCCCAACACAGGCGAGTATTTCATCCCAGCGGGCCTGTGTGCACCAGAATAACCTGGTGTGGCTCAGTGTGGCTTGGTGGTTGAGCATCGACCTATGAATCAGGAAGTCATGGTGTGATTCTGGTCAGGGCATGTGCCCAGGTTGCGGGCTCGATCCTGGTGGGGGGGGACATGCAGGGGTGGTCAATCAGTGATTCTCTGTAATCATTGGTATTTCTAACTCTCCTCTCCCTACCTCTCTGAAATCAATAGAAACATTCAAAACAAAGAAAAAACCTCACGCCTGGCCGGTTTGGCTCAGGTTCAGCATCACCTATGAACCAGGAGGTTAAAGTTTGATTCCCGGTCAAGGGCATATGCCCAGGTTGTGGGCTCGATCCCCAGTGGGGAGCAGACAGGAGGCAACTGATCAAAGATTCTCTCGCATCATTGATATTTCTCTCTCTCTCTCCCCCCTTTCCCTTCCTCACTCAGAAATCAATAAAACATAAAACAACAACTCCCAAACTTCCTACTGGATGTTCCACTCCTGCGGACACCTCAGCCTCATGCCCGCGCCCGGTCTGCTGCCAGCCCTGCGCTACAGAGGGCAGATGTCTGGCTGGACGGGGCAGCCAGGGCCGCTGGGCAGGAGGGCACAGTTGGGGCGTGCGCGTGTGCCAGGTCTCCCAGGGTGAGAGGATCCGGGAATCGGGAAGCCGCCCGCCCTCAGGTTCTTTCTGAGTCGGATGCTCTGGGCGCACCTGCTGTACTGCTGTCGGTCCCCTTCCTGCGGCTGCTGTTCCTGTGGCCACCGCTCTGCGCCACAGTGAGAGGCGCCGGCCTGCTGCACCCGAAGTTCCAGACAGGAGTGAGCCGCACAGCCCTGTGTGCACGCAGCTGTGACAGCTGTGAAGCGCCGCGCAGGTTGCTGTGGCCTCTTCCTCTGGGGAGGGCAGGGCTTACAGCAGCGACCCGACCCCGAGGGGGTGCCTCAGCCACAGTGACCACCGCTCCCTCCACTTGGGGGCGTGCAGTCAGCGACGTCCCGCCCACCCGGCACCTCAGTGTCAACATGCATTGCCAGCCACGTATTTTGGAGCATCTTGGTCTCCTGCTTAAATGATCGCAGTGACCTCCCTGCTTCAGGCTCCACTCTGCCCACAGAGGTACACACTTCCTCCACTTCTGGAAGCTTCAGTGGCTCCCCAAGGGGAGGCGGTGCTCCCCACACTTGCGTGGTCAGAAATCACCTGGGCTGCTGAATAAAGGTAGATTCCCAGCTTACTCTTCAGATCAGTGCGTTTGTGGGAAGACCTGGCCATCCGGGTTTTTACACAGCATTCCGGTCGCTTCCAGCATTTACCAGACTCTTCTTCAAGGGCCCTGCCCTGCCCTCCCACCTCTGCCCTGGACTGGGACCCAGGGCCCTCGCCTCCATCCTGCACCGTGGCGTGGCCAGCCACTGCTCTTTGGGCATCTGCCCACCTGCCCTGTCTCTAAGCCTGTGCCCTGGGCTGACGCAGTCCCTCAGGGAGTCACGTGCTCGCGGCTGCTGGCCTTCCTTCACACTGAATAGCATCTCTCTCTCCCCGCGGCATGTGGGGCCTCTAAGAGCCACTGTCCTACCCTCCAGCTAAAAGGACGCGTGTTAGGAATGCGACGTCATTTCTGCCCAGGGAGGAGGAAGCTACAGACATCCTCTCTGTCTCCCGCCCTGAGCTTGTGAGGGAAAGTCAGGTGGCGCTCAGGTGTGGACTGTCCACGGGTGGGACAGCCGGAGAGCGCAGCTCAGTGCCCAGCGACGACACGCTTTCTGGCTGCAGCACAGGAGAGGGACCCGTGACGCCTCCCCGTGAGTGTGGCGTTCCGGCCAAGCGCACTGATGCCTGGTCCACGCCTGGTGTGACCGGTCAGTTCTGTTTTGCCGGAGATGAGTGAACAGGGGAGGCTGGGGCCAGAGGGGGCCGTGTCCCCTAACGCTGAATCCCAGGGCTCCCCACAGTCAGCGCGGGGTGTGGGGCCTGTGCTCCCGTGACAGGAGCCAGGAGCTGGAGCTCTGGCCCAGGTACCTCCCTTTGTGTTCTTGGCAAAAGGAATTCTCCTCAGAATGGCTTCCATGCACTGATCCGTGTACCTGTTCGTGCATGTGACACAGTCATTTCCTTCTTCCTGTCCAAGAAAGGCCGGGGAGCCGGCTGGTTGGCTGACCCCAAGGCCACGGAAGACCTGCCGGCCTGGTCTCTGGCAGCCTCGCTGGGTGCCTGGGGACAGTGTCAGGGCGAGGGAACGGGGTCTCTTCCTTTCCCTGCCTCTTCTTGTTCATGCTTTCCCCCAGAGTATCGGGGCCTCTGCCAGCTTACAAAGGCCAAGGTACTGGGGTCAAAGACAGATGGTCAGATGCCACCTGTGTGTGAGAGAGACGGGGGGGCCTTGGGGCAGGGGTGGCCGTGACCTGGGCTGAGTGAGTGGTAAAGGGTCGTATGACTTTATTGCATTACTTACGTGACTTTCACAAGAGCTCAACTCCCCACGCGGTTTCCCCGTTGGTAACAGTAGTGTGTGTGCGTCACGCAGTTATGACTGAGCCGGCGGGGAACCACAGGAAGGAGGCCTCTGTCCCGGTCCCCGCCCCTGGCCGCCGCGTCGGGGCGAGGGCGGCTTTCCCAGCCAGGCCCTCAGCTTTCCTTTACTCTGACCCTGTGGGCTGCCACTCGTCCTGACCGTGCTCCATGGAAAGACCGTCCCGAATAGCAGGATTTTTCTGGAAAACCCATAGTTCTTATTTCTAATGAGTGCACATTTGGAAAACTCATTTCTATTTGTAAGAGTGGGAAAGCCACCAACTACATGTGTGGACTCGGAAACGTCCATGAAGGCTTTTGTTTCTCCCTTCGTGTTATTACTGTGTTTTTCCTGGACTCACACCTGTCAAGAAGTGACTCAATATAAACAATTTTTTCTTTGCCCTTTGCTGTTAGGGCAGAAAGGAAGTACTGCAGCCACCAAACTGGTCTCTCATACGAAATTATTCTGGGTTGGAGTTCCCTTCAGTGCAGTTTTACAAGTCCAAGTGAAGACTGGGGCGGGATTTTGTTTGGGATTAGTGAGCCCTCATTTTGCTTATAGCTTACTAGAGGCCCACCCGGTGCACAAAATTCATGCACGAGGGGAGGGGGGTCCCTCAGCTCAGCCTGCACCCTCTCCATTCAGGATCCCTCTCATAATCTGGGACCGCTGGCTCCTAACCGCTCACCTATCTGCCTGCCTGGTTGCCCCTAACTGCCCGCCCCTGCCGACCTGGTTGCCCCCAACTACCCTCCCCTGCCGGCCTGGTCACCCCTAACCGCCTCTGCCTCAGCCCCCGCCACCGTGGCTTTTTCCGGAAGGATGTTCAGAAGATGTCTGGTCTAATTAGCATATTACCCTTTTATTAGTATAGGTAAGTATTTGTCATACTATTCTCTACTTTTCTATATGTATTTAAAATACTCCAGAATATTTTAAGTGAATAAAAAATGGTCAAGTTGCAGAAAAATAAAAGTTTAGAAATACAACCTGGTAGGCTTGAAAGCAACAACATTTGCATAAAAGGGCATAAATTGCAGTCGGCAGCAAAACTGATTAGGATTGCTTAGTTAATATTCTTTTGTTGGAAAGGCGTGGTTTGGGCAAAGGAGAAAAGGAAACCAGCCCTATGAAAGGGAATGTCTGATTGGGCCGTTGCCGCAGCAGAGAGGGGCAGGTGCGGCAAAGGTTCAGGCTGTCCACAGGCAAGGGTGTCTGTGTGTGGGGGGCACCAAAGGACACCTGTCACACCTGAAACACTTTGCTAACACAACTGCGGAGCTCAGGGAGAATCACTGCTTTTACTACTATTATTTCCCTGACATATAAAATATACATACATATAAATATATGTGCCCTCTTCTGAGCTTCCCCCGCCCTCCACTGAATATTTGGCTGTGGCCTTCTTTTCATGTCAACAAATTGGGTGCACAGACATGATTTTTAATGGCTGCGGGGTTATCCCTGACCGACATTTCTGCCGTTTTCCTCACTAACCCTTTATTGTGGGGCAGGTTGTTTCCGGTTTCCCCTGGCATCAACCACTACAGTGAACATAATTGCTTATTTGACTGTTTACTTAGGACACATTCACAGACATGGAACTCCTGGCCCAAAGCTAATTCACTTGAATTTTGATCCACATTTCCAAACTGACTTTCTAGAAAGTGCTTCTGTTTGTTTAGTCCATTGGTTTTAAATCAGATTATACTCCCACAAACGGGTTAAGAGAAAACTGTTCAATGCACTTTGGGCAAATTGCAAACTCTTGCTGTACTTGAGCAACCCCGGGGCGCGGGACCTGGAGGATCCGGGCTGGAGGGTGAAGTCCAGGGAAGCACGGGTGGCGCGGTCGAGGGCGCTGTGTGGGTGCGGGCGTGTGAGTGTGTGTCGCTCGGGTCCACGCTCATGCACACACTCGCACGCCCGCACTCCCGCTCTGCACCCTTGGCCACCAGGAACCTCCGTGGAGCTGCCGTGAGCTCGGATGCATCCAGTCCCAGCACCAAGCAAGTCGGAGAAAGGTTTTGCCACCAGGAACCTTTCGGAGTTCGGCCGGCTCGCCAGTCCCCGCCCACTTGGTCAAGCCTTTGTTCGTTCCGGACCCTGGCTCTTTATGTAAATAGATAGCTGTGTGACTCGATGGAGTGTTGCTGGAGGATGAAAACCCAGAGGGGCTGATGGTTAATGTACAGGCTGTGTCTCTGTTAACGTGGGTATGGCCCGTTTCCGGAGCTGTTTAACCTGCCAGGTGTAGTTTTGGGGCCTGATTCACACAGCCTGTCCCCAGTGTAGCCAGAATTTCAAGCTATAAGTCTCTCTTTAATTGTGTTCTTCACATTTGGCTTCAACACAGCGGCATCATTTCCTAGATGGGCCCCATGCACATGCTCCACACAGAGACTTCACCCAGCTCGTGCCCGCAACACGGCTGGGAAAATGAAAGCACTTGCAAGGTTAGAAAGGCTGACCTCAGGGGACATGAATAGAATCCAAGAACCACATTGAGCCCCCAGCTGCCCAAGTTCAAGGCCTTTTCTTG